GGCACACTAGTCCCTTTTAATTGCTAACTCTCCCTTGTATGTAAGGTCCTTTTTAACAAACCTATAAATTCTAAAGATAAAGCCCAGTCAGGACAAAGAGAACCAAAAGAAGCTTGCTTTGGAGTTTAGACGTAGGGAGTAGGGAATAGCACCTGTGTTAAGGGTCTTGGGTCCTGTGATCCATCTATGGCAGGCCAGGGAACCAATCAGATTGTGACAAATTCCAGGTAGGGGGAAGGGCCCTGGCACCCCATAAAAGCAGCTGGGAACAAAGGGCCCAGGTCCTGCATCTTTCCAGAGCCCCCTACCCTGATTTGGGTAGCTATCTATCTCCTCCTTTTTACCCCTTTCCAATAAAGTGCTGGATAAAATATCCTCCTTTCCTTAAATTTTGTATCTTTAACCCTTTACTGGTAAGGACTTTAAGATCTCAGTAAACAGCTCCGATGGGGAGAGCAGCGGAGCTGGAACTGCAGTGCACACCCCCGACTCTGACACCAGACCTCTGGGAGGCTAAAACAGGAGAATTGCAAATTGCCCACCTAGGCAATTTAGGGAGACCCTTTCTCAAAATAAAAAATAAAAAAGGAGGGGCCTAGAGATGTAGCCCATTGCAAAGGTTCCAGGTTCCATCCCCAGTACCAAAATAAGAGAGAGAGAGCAACGGACCAACAGACAGACACTGGAGTGCAGAGACCTGGGTGGTCAGCATGGTGACTCAGCCGTGCCTGCCCCTAAGCCTCCTTCCTTCTCTGATGAGGAAGAGTTTCCTCAGGCCTGGTGGAAAATCTAATGAGAATGAACGCAGAGCAATCAGCCCTCTCTCTGAACGTTGCCATGGAAACTGTGTGTGACTCCGGGGGCCGGGGGTGGGAGTGGCACAGGCAGGGTTCAGTCACACTTGTGGCTGAGAGCGGCTTCGCTTTAAAATGTTAGGGAGCCAGGCACGGTAGCACCTGTCGACTCCATGCCATGTGCGATTCATCCGAGAGATAAAGTCCAGGTCCTTGTGTGCAGCGGGCCAAGAACTGCAAGTATAAAAAAAAATGTGCCTGCCTCACAAGTGCAAGGTCCCGAGTTCAATCCCTGGTACTGAAAAAAAAAAAAGAAAAAAGCAGCTGCATTTATTGGTCATCCCCAGGGCACCTTGGTACTCACGACTCTCTCAGAATCCACTGTTTCAGTCGTGTACATGACACATGGTCCCTGAACTTTTATTGAAGTTCAATTTCCTGAGTCTCTCTTATTCTTATTTCTTTTTTTCTTTTTTTGGTACTGGGGATTGAACTCGGGTCCTTCTGCTTGTGAGGCAGGCGGCGGAACCACTGAGCTAAATCCCCGGGCAGATTATTATTTCTGCTTCTCTTAGTATGATGGAAGGAGGAGTGGCCCTGGAGAATCACCCAGATTCAAGTGAATGGAGGGGGAGTGGTCTCCCAGCCCCAACTGTGCTACCTGTACTAGTCCCAGTTACTTGAGAGGCTGAGGCAGGAGGATGCTGCTGAACCCAGGAGTTTGAGGCCAGCCAGGACAATGTAGAGACCCTGTCTCAAAAAGCAGATAACTTGTTAGGGACGGGACACCTTATTCTCCAGGAGAGAGACCTTCCTTGAAGGCCACCTGACCTGGCCATGAGTTTGGCATATTCTCTAGGGTAAGTCTTACCCTAAGGCAGCACAGGCGAGCCAAGGCCCCCCATTTCCAGGTAGCCTCCCCTAACCGCCTGTTTCTGGTATCCCAAGTCCATCCTCACAGAGCTATACTTTGGGTAGAGATATCTTAACCTTTTTGTTTTCTGAGACAAGGTCTCACTATGTAGTTCAAGCTGGCTTGGCCTCGAACTCATGGCAATCCTGTTCACCAGAAACAAACATCAAGGTGAATACAACGTTCCGAATTTTAAAAATGCAAAAAATAGTTGATATAAGACAAATAAACAGACATATGACTGTATCTTGTGCAAACAAAACAAGAACCGACTGGTTGAAATGACACCTGCCCCAGCGACACTGGGGACAGTCAGTATGGAAACAAATGCACGGCTCTTGTTAACTAAGAAAATAAACAATCCTAGAAGCGATACATTTAGCCTTGAGGGTTATTTATAGTCTGTGAAAAGAGCCCAAAATCTCTGCCCTTGCCAGCCACAGTGGCACAGAAAGTAAACCCAGCACTCTGAGAGGCCGAGGCAAGAGGGTCCCAAGTTTGAGCCCAGCCTGGGCAACTCAGTGTACTTAGAGAGACCCTGCCTCAGAACTTTAAAAGAATTAAAAAGTGAAAAGGATGCCGAATCTCCTGCCTCAGCCACCGAGTACTGGGATCACAGGTGTGCGCCAAGAGGGCCCATTGCAGGTATTTGTCCCGCTGACAAAAAGCCGATTGACACAGAAAGTGTGCTTGATAAATGTGTGAAAAGCAAGCATAAGGACAGAGTAGCGAAGGGACGGCGACGAGGAGCTTAGAGGACCTCAGAAGCCCTTGCGATGACTTCAACTTTTGCTTTGGGTCGAGTGAGCAGCTGCGGGAAGGTCTTGAGCTGAGTAAAGACAAGTGATCTGCTTCTGGGAATTCTAAGATCCTACCGAATGTGAGAAAAGCGGTAAGAGGGCTCTCAAATCAGCGTCACCTGCGGTCCGCTGCACCTGCCAAGGCTGACAGGAAGTCCCAGCCCCTTCTCTTGGTCTCCACTGTTTTGCATGCGCCCCACCCTGGCTGCAGCAACGCTGTACCGCCCCACGGCTCCTCTAGGTGGCAGTGCTGTCTCGCGCACCGGGGACGCCGCTCTATTTTGGTTTATTCGCAGGGCTGCTGGTCCTTTCCGAGTAGAGAAAAGCAGATAGCCCCTAGTCCTCACCCCTGTCCTGCCTGCCCCTCTCCGGTGAGGCCTCCCCGCTTGGCATAGCTGCCGGGGACCAGCCAGGCTACCGAGGTGGGCCCAGGCCTAAGCGCTCATCTCTGCCACTTCCAGGAATGGCCGGTGTAAGGAGATGGAGCCGGCTCTCCCTTCCCTGTTTGAGCTTCCTCGACCAGACGGATACTCATGCGGTTTTTGTTTTGTTTTGTTGGTTCTTTTTACTTCACAGAAACAAGCTGTCAGCCTGCTGTACTTTAACGTGTGAATACTAGGCACAAGACATTGCATCTAAAATTGTTATAAATTAAATAAAAGGGAAATCACATCAGTCATCAAGGGCTCCAGAATGAACAGCATCTTCATAACCTCCACGTTTATCATCTTTATTTTCTGGGTGTAATTTAATCAGATCATCAATGCAAAGAATGGTAATTGCAGCTTCTGTTGCAAATTTCAAGCTCTTCACTTTAACTATGGTTGGTTCAAACAGTCCTGCTTGCTTGTTGTCTCTTGGTTTACCATTGATCAAATCAAGACCAATCCATTTTAGATTTTTACGCTCTGGGTGAACTTGAACCTCATTATGAAAAGCCCTTAACTTTGCAACCAGATCTGTGGAGTCTTGGGCAGTGTTCACTGCCAGTGTGTTAGGAATGACAAGAATCGATCTTGCAAAGTGCAATAGCAAGCTGCTCTCAAGATCCCATGCTGGTGGCAGAGTTTTCAAGGTGTATGGAAAGGGCTGCTTCTACAGCACCCCCACATGGAACCACTGATTTGGACTCCAAAGCTCTCTTCACCACACAAAGTGCATCATGTAAAGAGCGCTCCATCTCATCCACATGAAATCATTGGCCCCACGTGAGAGAATCAATGCAGATGTATGGGCCTTAGTATTTTTGATTAAGATCAATTCATCATCACAGATTCTCTCTTGTACCACCTCTTCTGCTTGTCCCAACATTGTAGCTTTGAAAGTTTCATGGGCTGAGGATTTAGCTCAGTGATTCTGGCGCCTGCCTCATAAGCGCAAGGTCCCAAGTTTGATCCCCGGTACCAAAAAAAAAAAAAAGTTTCTCCACCTTCCAAATTGGCCAAGGTTGAGAGGATAGTTGCTCCAGAAGCTTTAGCAATGCATTTAGGGTCCCTTTTCAAGACTCTTCTAACTGCCATAGCACCCGCCTCCGCGAAATACTTCAGACACATGTCATCAGTTCCACCAGTGGTCAGGATAACACTGGTATGTGCAAAACCCTGGGTTTGAGTCCCAGCACATTAGAAAATTTCTAACACCAAGTAGACTACAGTCAGGAACAGAGACACACGGACGGCCTGCTTTTAGCACGCAGGATCCCAATGTGACCACAGGCTTGAAAGACCAATCTAGGGACACCATCGCCGCCCCTCCTTTGGTCCCATTTTGGTCTCATGCACTTCCGGGCACTTTGCACAGTTACAGTGGAGGTCTCCAGTGCGCATGTCACACCAGCTCCTTCCAGGGTGACCCCAGAGGGGAAGCCCAGATGATTCGCGCCAGCTGCAACATTTGTCACTCTCCCCGACTCCAGCCCACCACCCCCATGGTGCTGTCCCAAGGCAGACACCCCGCAGCTCCTGTTACCTCCCCCAGAGCCCTGTGCCGCCACGCACCCTCTGTAATGTCTACTCAGAGGTCTGTCCCTCCCCAGACCCTGGTGGTCCCTGGCATGGGTGACCACATTCTGCTCATCTGTGCATAGGTGAGGCATCTGCCACCTAGAAGAGGGCTGGAGAAACATTCTGAAACAAACAAAAATGAGCAAATATCCCGATGCAGTGGACACACCTGTAATCCCAGCTACTCAGGAAGCTGAGGCAGAAGGATCACAAGTTTGAGGCCAGTCTGGGCTACAGAGTGAGTTCAAGACCAGCCTGAATTACATAGTGAGACCCTGTCTCAAAAGCAATTTTTAAAAATTAAAATTAAAAAAGGGTTGGTGATGTAGCTTAATGTGAATGCCTTGGGTTCAATTCTCAGTGACTCCCCAAAAAGGGGTGCTAGATGTAGCTCTGGGGTACAGGGTCCCTAGGTTCAATCCCCAGTATGGGGGTGGGGAGGAGCGAATGGGGACTGTTAGCCAAGTAAAGTAGAACCATCTTAAGGATGTTCATTTCCCACTCTGTTATTTATAATCAAGACCTGAGCGCCCTTTTCATTTTCTTCTTTCCCTTCATGAGTCCCACCCCCCAGAGGCTGACAGGTTGAAGCTGCCCAAGTACTCAGGGTGTCCAGGCAAGCTGGCCTCTGTCCCTGTGGGTGCTCCTACGGTCAGGTCTCTGGGCTTTCTGGGGCCTCCTTAATCCTCTTGAATTTTGATTTTTGCGGAAGTTTCCTTGAAGAACCTGAAAGAGAGGTCAGAGAAGGACCCAATAACATCACAAATAGTAAAAGAATCTCAAAAGCATATGGAGGATATGAAGCTGGGAGTGGTGGCCCACGCCTGTAATCCTAGCACTGCGGAGGCTGAGGCAGGAGGGTTGTGGCAAGTTCAAGACCAGCCTGGACTACACAGTGAGTTCAAGACCAGCCTGAATTACATAGTGAGACCCTGTCTCAAAAAAAAAAAAAAAAAAGTATATGGAGGGAGCAGAGAGAAGAAAATCAAATCTTATTTCCAACTATATCCTCTCCTCTCTTCTTGCTGAAATCCTGGGAGATAGGGAGGTTGTATTATCACCCCAAATTTACAGATGAGGACTCCCAAACTGGCACAGAGTAAGGAAGCAAAATGCGCAATGCCTCATGGCGAGTTAGAGGCACAGTCAGGGCCAGACCCGAGTTTTCCTGACTTCTGGGTTTGTGCTCTGATTCTTTTCATTCCTTCCTCGAGCCGCATAGCCTGATTCCCAATACTTCGCTGCTGGGCTGTTCGAAAACACTATTGCCAAGTTTGGGGTTTTTGGGTACCAGGGATCGAACTCAGGACCTTGCACTTGCAAGGCAGGTGGCAGCACTACTGAGCTAAATCCCCAGCTCCATTGCCAAGTTTTAATCCAGAACTGACATGACCTGATGTGATGGCACATGCTTGAAATCTCAGCACTCGGGCAGCTGAAGGAGGAGGATCACGAATTTGAGGCCAGCCTGGGCTGCATAGGGAGACCTTGTCTCAAATAAAACCCAAAACCAAACCAAAACAAAACAAAACAGGACGTAGGAACATAGTGGCAAAGAAACACCATGCAAGTTACTTTTCATTGCAGGGTGATTTGGTGAATAATCTTAACCCACTCATTGTGGGTTTCCTGGGAATTATGAGCTTTCTCACATGACAGTAGGGATGAAGACAACCTCATCGCTAACCGCCCCCCCCCCTTTAATTCCCCAAGACTTTCAAACTGAAAGGTAAAGAAACAAGCGAAAAGATGCCGAAAGGAACCAACCAGAAAAAAACAGGAGGTGGAATGTACACCTGTGAGACAAGGGGATGACTTTGTTAGGCGAAAAGATTTAAAAGACATAACCAGGTGAAACTCATGGTTTGAGAATAGTTAGTGATCTCTGAAATTTGAACATGGACTATTTAATCCAAGTAGTACATGCAGTGCAAATGTTGACCTGGAAAGGTCAGTACCACTGACTAAAAAAGCAAGTCAAATCAAAATCGCATATGCAACATAGTCTCATTTTGGTTAAAAGACATGTAATGCATTAAAAAATGTGGGAAGTGTTGACAATGGTGATGACAAGGTGATGTTTGTATTTTCTTGTTTTGGGCCATCTGTATTTAGTGCTCTATGTATATAATAGTATAAATGTTCATTGCATGAAAACCAAACCTCTCAGCCCACGGTCCAAGGCTTCTTTCCTCCCTATTGTGCCCTTGCCCTGTGTCTCTGCATCTGCTCTTCCATCACCACAGGCCCTGTCTGCTCATCACCCCTAGCCTCTGCACCTTTCTTCCCGCTCCTCTGCCCTCCTCCATCTGCCTCCTCAGCCCTTCCTGTAAACCCGTCTCCAACCCACCTCCTGCAGACAGCCTGTCTGGATGAACACACCCTTAGCCCTGTGGCTTACAGGGCTCATCCATACCAGGGGAGCGATAATGACCGCTTCATTCGGATGCTGCAGGGGTCGGGTGAGATAAAGACGCAGAGCACCTGGCAGAAGCCAGCCGTGGCACTGCACACCTGTAATCCCAGCAATTGGAGGGGCTGAGCAGGAGGATCGAAAGTTTGAGCCCAGCCTGGACAATTTAGCAAGAGCCAGTCTAATGAAATAAGGGCAGAGGAGGTAGCTCGGGAAGAAGGCCCTGGGTTCAAATCCCAGTTTGAACAAAAAGTATCTGGCACCTGACAGAGAAAGAGTTTGGCCCAGAACTCATCAGATTCATGGCTGCTTGGCGTGCGTGACTTTTCTTTCTTAGGATCTGGGGCGGGGGTACTGCAGATGCACTGAGCTACATCCCGGGCCTTTTTAACTTCAATCTGAGACAGCATCTCACCAAGGTGTCCAGGCTGGCCTGAGCCTCCCGCCTTGGTCTCCTGTGCAGCGTGCCCCACTCATCTTAACTCTGCTTAACTGGCCTTCCTGGTGTGAAGTCCTGTTGCAGCTCTGACTTCCTCCATTTAAATTGTAGGCACAGGGCCAGGCATGCCCAGTCCATGCCTACTGCCACTGACCTGTTTTCTCTCTTGCTTGCCCTTGGGTCCGCGTGGGCCTGGGGAACAGCTGGCTAAGGTCACCCTGGATTCACCCCAGCCAGCCAGGGCTTCAGAGGAGCCTCAGGGTCCACTACAGGACTACAGCCTTGGGCCACCCGCTTACCTTTTCCTTCCCCAGCAGTTAGCAGGGACCACTGACTGCGCCCAGAAGCCTGCTCCAGAAGAGAGGTGGACAGGCTTACAGGGGCCTCTGAGGGCTGCACGTTGGCTGGGACCCTGCTCCCCACAGCCTCTGCAGAGGCCTGAGCAGCTGGGAAGGCGACCTGGCACTTCCTTTGCCCTACTCTCACCCCAGCCGGTAGGGGGCGCCCTGCTGCTGCTCTTCTGACCTCCACTTGCAATCCACTTCCACCACAATCCGCCTCTTCCCGCGTCTAGGCCTCTTCCCGCGTCTAGGCCTCTTCCCGCGTCTAGGCCTCTTCCCGCGTCTAGTCCTACGGGGAAGAACCCTGCTTTAACCTAACTGAAAAATGCAAGATTCCAAACCGCGTGTTCTGAGACTTCTGCTGGGGAGAAACCACACTGAACACTGGGAAACACTAAATGTCAGCCCTAGAGGCCTCTGGGTGACAGTGATTTTTCTTTCTTCCTTATTCTACTTCCGTGGACACTTTCAACATTCCATAATGAATACACCGGGGAGGAGCTAAAACTAGAAAAGAGAAAGTGGAGAAGGGGAAGGAAAGGACCGAAGGAAAAATGCTGGATGCAGGGGAGGAGGAAGGGAGGGAAAGGTCCTTGTCAGACTCAGGGTGGAGTCTGCCCCGGAGAACCCTGACTCCGCCTCGCCCCGCCCCGCGCCGGGCGCGGGCCACTGTGGGCCTTACCTCGCGGGACCGGACCGGTCCTGGCCAGAGGCCTGCATCTTGGACAGCCTCTCCTGCATGCCCTGGAGGTTGCCGTGCAGCCCCCAGGCATCGCACAGCTTGGGCAGACTGCCCTGCCGGGCCACCAAGGCTCCGCCCCGTGAGTCCACGTTCTCTGGGGAAGAACACCTGCAACACAACGGCCCACAGTCGGTCAGGATCGGTCAGGAAGGCGAGGCCCGACCGACCGAGCGCAGCTTTGCACTTGCTGCCAAACTGCTAGCGCAGAAAGCATGGGGCGAGAATCACAGATGGGAGGAGAGAGGACCCGGGGGCACGGAGGCCAGGCTGCCAGCTGTCTCTTCCAGGACTGCAGGATTGTCCTTCATTTTTTCTTTTCTTTTCTTTACTTATTTATTTGTATGTTGAGAATTGAACACAAAGCTTCACGCATGCTAGGCAAGTGGTCTACCACTGAGCCACACCCCCAGCTGGGCTGTCTTGTATGTTTTTTTTTGGTTTTTTGGAGACAAGATCTTACTACTTAGCCCAGGCTGACCTTCCTGCCTCAGCCTCCCCAGGGCTGAGATTACAGCCATGTGTCATCACACTTGACTTGGGTTCTCTTTTATTTTAAGCTCGTGCCTTCCATCTTTTGGGGGGGTGATAGCATCTGCTTTGTTTGTAATGAAACAATGGTACTTGTTTAAAGGCCCTAATTTAGCAAAATTTAAATTAAAGCTGGGCTTGGTGGTGGACACATGTAATCCCAGCACTCGGGAGGCTGAGGCAGGAGCATCACAAATTTGCAAATTCAAACCCGACCTGGGCAATTTAGTGATTCAGCAAGACCCTGTCTCAAAAAGTAAAAAAAAAATAAAAAGGACTGAGGATGTAGCTCAGTGCAAAGACACTGGTTCAACCGCTGACAACAATAAATAAATAAGTAAATAGAAAGCTTGGAGATAGTTTGAAATTTTTATGTCCAGTGAAATCCGGAAATCCAAGAATCATGAAAATAAAAACTTCATACTTAGAAATGAATCACTAGAGCCAGACGCAAAGATGCACACCATGGTCCCAGGTAAGGCTGAGGAAGGATCATTGCTTGAGCCTAGGAGTTTGGGGCCAGCCTGGGCAACACAGTGAGAACATGGCCCTTAGAAAAGATGGACCTGCCAGGCGTGGTGGTGCACAACTGTAATCCCAGCACTTGGTAGGCTGAGGCAGGAGGATCACCATGAGTTTGAGCCCATCTTGGGATACACAGTGAGTTCAAGGCCAGCTGATCTGCATAGTGAGACCCTGCCTCAAAAAAAAAAGAAAGAAAGAAAAGGAAAAAGATGGGCCTGAGGTGTAGCTCAGTTAAGAGTGCTTGCCTAACATGTGTGAGGCCCCAGGGCTCAATCCCCAATGTTGCAGAATGAACAACAACAGAAGGAATCACTGAAATGACCCAACCATTCCTTCTTCAGAGGAAGAAGCAGAAATGCAGAGAGGGAAAGGGGAGCTTGGTCAGAGCAGGGCTTTTATCTGAGGCAAATGGAATTCGAATGTGGGCCAGGTTGCTTGAGCTCCCTGAATGTGGGATCTTAACAGAGGACCACGCTTCTCACTGCCATGCAGGGTTGTGACTGAGAATTACACCAAGGAGCATAAAGTGCCCGGTACACAGAAGGCTTTTACAACTCTTCCCTAGGATTACTGTTTTGGATCAGTGGTTCTCAAGTGTGTTTTGCAAACCCTTGGGAGCCCCCTGGAGAATGGGGTCCGTCTGAGGTGCAGAAGACAGAACAATGGATCCTAATGAAGCCTGGCGAGAAGAGCTCATTGGTGCAGCTCTGAGGACACCGACTGTCAAGGCCACCTGAGTCACATTCTGGGAAGGCAGAACAGTGGTGACAGTGACAAGGTCAGAGTCTGCCCGAGCTTTTGGGGAGGGAGGAAGGGAGGAAGACTAGGGGAGCACGGAGGACCTTTAGGACAGCATAACCATGGGGCAGGACACCGTCATGGTGGGTCCACACCATCCAACATTTGTCAAAAGACAGAACGGACAAGACAGCCTGAACGTTAATGATGGGCTTCAGCTAATAATAATGTATCGACATTGGCTCATCAGTGGTAACAAATGGACCTGCTAATAACTGGGGAAGCACAGGTTGGGGGGATGGATAGGGGAGCTCTGTACATTCCACTCAATCTTCCTATCAACCTAACACTGATTTTTCATTTTGCTTTTTTGTTTGTTTTTGGTACCAGGGGTCGAACTCAGGACCTTGCACTTTCGAGGCAGGCAGCGGCACCACTGAGCTAAATCCCCAGCTGTTTGTTTGAGATACACTCTCCCTATGTAGCCCAGGCTGGGCTCAAACTCATGATCCTCCTGCCTCGGCCTCTGAATGCTGGGATCGTAGATGTGTGCTTCTACACCTGGCAACCTAAAACTGCTTAAGTCTATTTAATCCCAGCTCTCTGGGAGGCTGAAGCAGGAAGATCTTAAATTCAAACCCAGCCTTAGCAGTGCAACAATTTAGCAAGAACTTGTTTCAAAATAAAAAATTGGTACGGGGATTTAGCTCAGTGGTTCCACTGCCTGCCTTGCAAGCACAAGGTCCGGAGTTTGATCTCTAGTACCAAAAATTAAAATAAAAACCAAAGTGGGTTTTTTTTGAGGGGAGAGTGCAGCTCAGGATGAAGGCCCTGGGTTCAAACCTCAGTACAAAAAAAAAATTGACACTTGTTAAGCTTTGATGTATTATCAAAGAAAAATATTCACAATTATCTAGAAACACTAATAAAATACTCTCATTTCTGAGTATGGATCTGTGTGAGGCTGGGTTTTCTTTATGTATTCCTTTTTGTTTGTTTGTTTTTTTAAGAAAGGGTCTTACTATGCAGTTCAGGCTGGCCTTGAGCTCACTGAGACCCTCCTGCCTCAGACTCCCAAGTGCTAGGATTACAGGCGTGCACCACCATGCCAGGCTTCCTTTATGTACTTCAACCAAGGGAATATTCCAGAAGACACTGACTGCAGGCGCTGCTATGAGAATCCAGCTGCCTTCTAATAAGCCAGAACTAAAGAGATTTGCAAAAATGTAAAATGCAACTACTCTTCTATTTTCTTTTTTTGTTTTGGAAAATATAGTTATTTTTTCATAAAATATGTTAAGATGTAATGGGCTCCTTGATTTTTAAACAAATTGGAAAACATTAAAATTATCTTTCTTCAGTTCTCATTTTGACTAGGGTAAACGTGAATAGCCATAACCCACATAAACAGATGTCTTTGGGCTTCTCAGGGATGTTGAGGATACACATGGCCCGACACCAAAGCATGTGACAGCCCCCATTTCGGAACACAACCGAGCCAGGCTCTGCTGACAGAACCCGGAGACCCCCAGGCAGGGCGGCCCCAACCGTTCCCGCCGTGGCCCCTCCGGGCCACCGTCTCATGACCGCTGCAGCCTCGGATTCCCCACTTAAGCCACATCTCCCCTGGAGCCCTGGGTTCCCTCGCCAAGGTTGACCCTGGCGTGGCGGCCACCGGACTGTTCCTTGCAGGCGGCCGAGCCTCGCCTCGCTCTCTCTCGCCACCTAGCGGCGGCCGCGGTACAGGACGGGGCTACGCTGGCTCTGGCGGGCTCTGGCGGCTGGCTGCGAGGCCGGGTGCATTTGGACGAGGTCCCTTTGTGTCCCATGACTCATTTTAATCTGTCCTCTGTGACATCACGTTTAGCATGATGGGGGTTTAAAATTGCCACTTACTGTATCCAAACTGGAAGGTTTGTTCTTTGAGCATTGATTCAGGATTATTTTGCAGCTATTAAAAATAATGTTAGAAAAAAAATAATAATTATGTTGGCAAGGGGGAGATATAAGGAGCCCTGTGTACAGTTTTATTGGGAGCAGTAGTTGGTAAGCAGTATTTCAAAATATTAAGCGTACTTTGTCTAGGGATTCATGTTAAGGAGAGAAGATGATGACAATAATGATCTATTCAATTGTTTTTGAGACAAGGTCTCACTTTTTAGCCCAGGTTGGCCTCAGACTCGAGGTGATCCTCCTGCCTCGGCCTCATGAGTACTGGGATCACAGGGATGCGCCACCACACCCGGCTAATAGTGGTATTTTAGAAGCAACTGAAATGTGGCATTTTTATAAAGGCATTAAAATTTTACTTTTTATTTTTTTGGTATCAGGGATCAAACTCAGGACCTTGCACTTGCGAGGCAGGCAGCGGAACCACTGAGCTAAATCCCCAGCCCTAAAATTCTACTTTACATCTCTACTTACTCACATGGAAATAGGTACTAAATCAGCATATGCAGTGTTAAGGTTTGGGTCTGTGATGTCCCAAAAGCTCTTGTGTCCTGAGATGGGACTACTGGGGAGTGATTCCATGATTAGTGCTCTAACCCATTAGCCCATTGCTAAGAGTCTTATTGGGAGGTGATGGAAACAGGAAGTTGAGCCTAGCGAAGGAAACAGGAAGTTGGGCCTAGTGAAGGAGACAGACTGTGGGGCTGTCACCTTGGGGTCTGTACCCAGTCCCCAGCCCCTCATCTATGATGCTTTTCCCCCCCTCTCTGCTTCCCAGTTGCCATGAGGTGGGTGGCTTTCCCCACTGCACACTTCCACCCAATGTCCTGCCTCATTTTGGGCCCTATGACACTGGCCACCAGGCCTGGCCATCCCATTTTTGGATATGCATTGAAAGGAGTCTCGAAGGATACACTTCAACATATTGAGGGTGATTTTTCACTGTCTTTGTATATTGTCTGCATTTTAAGAAAATAATATGCTTTGCTTTTACAGTCTGAAGAGAATCTGTTTTTTAAAGCTACTCATAAGATTAAATAACATAATTTAAAACATTATATAACACTATTTAAAAAACAGGATGCAAGCCGGGTGTGGTGGTGCACATCTACAGTCCCAGCTACTGGGGAGGCTGAGGCAGTAGGATCACAAGTTTGAGGACAGCCTGGGTAACTTAGTGAGATTTAGTCTCAAAATACAAAAGAACCTGGGTGTGCACACCTGTAATCCTAGCATTTGGGAGGCTGAGGCAGGAGGATTGCTTGAGTTTGAAGCCAGACTTGGCTACGTAGCGAGGCCCTCTCTCAACAAACCAAAAAATTAATAAATAAAAAAAGGCTGAGTGTGTAGTTCAGCGTTCCCTGGGTTTAACCTTCCAGTACCACAAAAACAACAGAACAAAACAATCCCAGCATACAAGAGTATATGTACAACTCGCGAGTGGACATGAA